TAAATACACTCCATAATACAGATTGATAAATATAGTCAAGTTGGCAAAAATAGAGTTCCTTAGCATCTAAAAGCTGAATTGGGGAAAAACTTCATAAACAGCCAATGCAAAATATCAATTCAATAAAATACAAATTCTAGTCAAATACAAAAATAGATTAAACCCCATTCAAATACAAAAACATAAAAACCTAAGTCAAATACAAAAATATAATTATGTACCTAATATACTAGCAGTTTTGCTAGAAAGGCAAATGGGAAAAACCCATAAAACAGCAAACGACCATATAATGCAAAACAATTTAAAATTAAAATTAATATATATATATATATATATATATACATATATAACAAATATATATCTGTCTCTTATACACATCTAGATGTGTATAAGAGACAGTATATATACAGTATATATATATCATTTACTCTACAGCTGTTCCATTGAGCACTATACGTCACTGATCTTGACAATCATATTTTGTATATATATATATATATGTATATATATATATACATATATATATGTCTATATTTATACAAGGCGACAGGAGAAAAATGCACACTGTACTATACGGCAATAGACTTGAAACAAACATAATGATAGGCCTAGTCGTTCGCTCTTGGAACCTAAAAATATCCAAACACACCTGCCCTTCTTCTTCAGCTTCTAAATCCCGATAAGTGTCATTGAGGAAATTTTGTTATTGTATAGGCCTAAGACTGGACATTAGATGTACAAAGAGAAGTAATCTCTTTCCATTAATTGTGTAAATATTAGTTAACTAATTCCAATTTTATTCTTACACGAGGTCACTTGGATTTTTGTAACATATCCCCATACGTCCTTTAAGCTACGTTTACTTACTTAGTCAAAAGTAAAACACTGTGTCAACCGCAGTGTTGTTGTGAACTTCAAAATCTAGATTATTTTCACAAGCGAAATCCTTTTTAATTCTGTTTTGCCATAGGATCTGTGGTCTTGTATACATGAGGGGCGTTAGGCCTATCACCGCTTTTGTTGTGATGCTGTTTGTTTTTATAGCTTTTGAACCAACATTCAAACCGCCATACTTCGCTTCCAAACAACTTTTTCACCTACACAAAATTCAGGCTCTACAGTATGTTCCGAAGGTATTTGTAGTGCATCGTACTCTGGTACAAAGCTTACGTAAATGTATACCTAAATGAAGGAAATAGCTATAAAGAAATAAAGAATACTAACTGTTTCATGACCTGCTGAATAAAGATTTGAAAGCCCTCTGGCAGTGAAGCGGACCATGTTAAGAAACTAGTTGTGGTTATTGAAACTTAAAACAAATATTGAAGCCAACAGAACAATCATCAGCACTATTTTCGTCTAGCGATGTGAAACTAAAACCTATTGATGAAGTATATTTACACAAGGTCATTCTAATCATGTACAAAATATTTAAAGAGCTTTAAAGTCAGGCTCCGGAGGAAAAAATGTTTTGATATGTTGACAGAAAAAAGTTGTTTGACGAAAAACTGGGGAACGGTGAATGAGATACAGATTTTTTAATATTTAAAAACTGGGGATTAAGGTGTAAAAATGGGCAGTTAGACTTTAAATGGGCGTAACAATAACGTGCGTGTCGACAATAGAATTGCTTTAGAAATATATCTTCAGCTAGGGTATAGACCCAAACGAAACGTTCGACCAGCTTGGTGGGCCCAAACTAGTCCCACGACCACTAATGATTACAGAGCCAAACCAAGGCAATATATATACAGCCCAGGTGTGAATGCAAATAGTGGAATACAAGCTATGTGGCTCGTTTCCAGTAGATACAGAGAATATTTTGTCATTCTTAACGCGTCCTACGAAATTCTTACGAGACAGCACTAGTCCGTGAATTTGTGACAAGATCGGAGATCTAAAAATGCAATCTCTACCGTGCATCAATGGCGGCCCGCTGGATCTCAATTGAGATTCTTTAATATATAAATTTAAGAAGGCAAATGGGAAAAACCCATAAAACAGCAAACGGCCACATAATGCAAAACTATTTTAAAATTAAAACGGAACAGTAGAGAAAACCCGATCAGAATGACAAAATAAACTAAGCATCCACTGGAAGGAATCCCAATATCTGCAGACGGATCCGTTTCGGCCTTCCAGGCCTCATCAGTGCAGCTAGGGTATAGACCCAAACGAAACGTTCGACCAGGTA